TTAAATATATATTTTTCAATTTATAAATAAACTGGATGCAATATTGAATAGACATTTAAAAAAAAATCTACAATATCGGTTTATCGGTCAATCAATGAGCAATCATTTTTCGGAGTCCTTTTAAGCACAACAATTAAATTTTTTCGAGTGTCCATCACCCGTGGATGTGTTGCTATCCATCTGGGTATCGGGGTATCTGGGTATATGGCTATCCAGCGGCTGAGCAACGTGCGTCCACTTAAGCCGCAGACAATCTTCATTATGTTATGGCCAAACTGCGGGGCACACACAGCTGCAAATGCTGCAGCTCCGCTCGCGATTGTGGAGATATAGCCCCTCCAGTTCCAGCATCAGTACCACGTCCAGGTCCAACTCCAGCTCCAACTCCAGCTCCGATCCCGATCCCACTCCCACAGCCGCTCGCCAGGTGAGGTGTTTATTAAGGTGTAATGCAATTTTTCATATTTCATTCGGATTCGTTCGGTTTCTTGCCTTTCGCTCCGCTTCCTTGAAACTGCGGCGTGGGCGGAGCAACTGGAAAATTGCAATAATATGGCTTGTGTATCTTTCTTTCTCTTGGCCGAAATGGCAAATAAAATGGATGCACAATGCAGGCCAAAAAGGATCCTGGAATGGAGTAGCGGCCGGGGGTAAAAAGTGTGGCAACATGTTTGAGGTTTTCGCTTTTCCGACATAAATAATGGCCATAAATTGAGCATGGCCGGAGCTAAAAATTCAGTATTTATAGCCAAATGATAAAAATAAGATTTATTAACATTTTGCTGCCCCCTCGCCGACTCCCTTTCACACACACACAAACATACACATACACAACCCCTGGCAGGAAAAGCGAGATTCAGGATGACCTGGTGGGGGAGGGGATGGAAGGGGGAGTGGGAATGGGAGTGGAAAAGGGGGAGGGTCGAGGATGGGAAAAGCCGCGCGAGAACATCCGTTTCGCTTCGCCGTGTGGATGATCCTGGTTCTCTGGGTTGGTAGGAGCCACTCCCCCTCGAATCACCACCCATCCATTCATCTGAAGAGGCTCCTGTGTGCAATCCAGAGGAAAAATTAACGCTCCACTGAAACTGGGGGGAAAGGACGATGGGGTCCAGAGGGAAAATCCTGGCCACTAATTAGCTTTTAGCCTCATTGCAAATTCACAAGAAGTCCGCGGAAGAACTAGCACTGCAAATATGCCTTTAAACTGTGCTGAGCAATTTGATTTTTATTACATTTTAAATCCTACAATTGAGTATTAAATCAATTTATTATAACAACCTATTCGTCAAAAGTGCAAAATATAAAAACACTATTTCATTCTGTTTAAATCATTAAAAATTGTTTATTTATTAAATAAAAAATTAAAAATATTAACTTGAATTTTTGCATTCTCATTTATAATTTATTATTTCATTATCTTCCGATATTCTCTTTAATTTTATTTATACATTTTTTATTTAAGCTTATGTTTTATTTAAATCTATTCCATATCCTAATATCTATAGCCTAATATTTTTCTCAATAATTGGGCAAAAAGAGAGGCATAAGTGTCGACCTGGCAGCTGGAGCTCATTAGCAGCCACTGCAACGAATAAAGAAATGCATTTTCCTGCCTCCCCTTTCCCCTTTCCCCTTTCCCCCATCCCTGCACCCCCGTAATGATGGTTATGCATTGCAGTCGAATTGCAGCATGAGCTATTTTAAAGCGGCAATATTTTCAGAGGAAGCGGAAGGGGGAGGGGAAGGGGGGGCGGAGTTTCCCAGGCCAAATTTGGCGATTCGCAATTAGTGGAACCACCGCAGCACCGCCTGCAGCTGAGTGGGGCAACAAACGAGCTGGTCATGAGTTGGGCTTAGTGGTCCGCACTTACTACATGTTCCTGGGAGTGCTCCAATAACGACAAAAGTCTGAGGCGGCCAAAAGGAGCTGGCGAGGAGCAGTTACGGCCAAGTGGAGACGCACACGCGGGCTGATTTTAATCAAATTCACAGCATTGTTTGCCTGTCAGGCAGCCAGCGGGGCGATTATCACAGGCGCAGGACGAGGACGGGATCTGGAAGAGTAGGGGGTAGGGAGTAGGGAGTAGGGGGAAAGGAGCAAGGAGGAGTGGACAACAAGGCGAAGGTCTGTCCGATATATATTTTACTTCTTTTTCACTTCTCCTGCTGGCGAATTCCGAGCGCATTTCATACGACACCACGGGCAATACCACAAACGATAGCCATAAAGCTGCGCTGTCCCACATTCTTGGCGGGCATGAAAACGCGTGACCACCAAGCCCATTCCCCCTATCCCCTCATCCCCCCATCCCCCACTGGATCCCCACCCACCTGGGCTGGTGCTTTTATTTTATTATATTATTTTTTTTCTTTTTTTTTGGTACGCGCCTTTATCTTGTTGAAGAGCGCGCCAATATAAAACTCATGAATATCATTAAAAATCGCGGCTGGCTCATAAAATTATTATAATAACAACAAATGCGCTGACATGCGATGTTCAGATCTCTAAGACTTGAGTTAAAGAGCGGTGTAAATCAAAACTTTAAAGGTACTTCTGGATATATGCCTAGGAATGGTACTCATAATAGAGTTTTTACAGGTACATTTCAAGACTTCTCTGTGTAAACTTGCAATATTAATAGTCTTGATTAAGCAAGTTTAAGTCGCATAATTACTGTTGCCTGGGCAATTGGTATTGCAAAGATGTTTTGAGATGTTTTGGTAGGAACTGGTTATTAGGTGATTAACACACTAATTAATAATATTCTAGCTCACTGATTCGGGTTCCTAATTTTTTTTATCTCTGCTTTCTTATTTAAAGTCTTTTGATTTTTTGTTGTTTTCCTATTTTGAATATCAAATAAAGGTAGTTAAAATAACTGAATTAAATTTTTTTTGTAAAGAGGTTTTCTTCACTCTTAGCGACCCAGCCCCTTCTTATACCCACTCATTCCATAATTTTATTTAGCACTCTTAGAATAGGTATTATATATTCTTAAGACATTCAGGATCTCATTGTTTTGGCAACTTCACTTTTGTTAACTAAAACAGGTTCACATTTTAAATATACAATTTTTTTTTCTTCTCCACTACGTCTAATTTACTTTCAATGGCTTTCTTTCTTTTTATTTGTATGCTCACAAAAATTACTTTTAAGGCAAAATTAATTTTTTCATTTAATTTTTTTATCAACGTATATTTGAATGGGTTAAAAACTGCTTGTCATTAAAAATCGAATCTTAAGAAATATTTCCCAATTCCAAAGATTGTGTTTTGGAGATTAGTGGACAACTTTAACCGTCTTTGGACTTAAAGGCTCCGGATTTGCCTGGACGGCAGCCAATGCGAGAAGAAGGAAAGTACACAGAGCGAAGATCTTCATTTCGATTGCTTTTGACTTAGCCTGAATAATGTACTGCCTTTTTATACCAAATTCGCAATTGTCGGACCGGATTCGATTTAACGATTTCTGGTTGATATATAATTTGCATATTTAGCACTTAGATAAATTATTATTGTTTACTTAGAACTGGTTAGGAAACATCGGCTTAAAATTGCAGTTATAACCCCTTAAATAATTAGCACATATATTATTACAAGTCCAATAAGAAAGAACCATCATTCATTATGATTTCTTATTTGATTCCAAAATTCCCATAAAAACAGGGCTTATATAATCAGCGAACGTTTTCATTTAATAGCAGCTTAGATCGACAAAAGCTCAACATATTATAAATAAATTAAAATTTAATCTATTCTGTTGACTTTGCCATATTATTAGAATTCCTTCGAAGAAAGTTGTTTTATTTTCCTTGGGTACTTGTGAGAACGGATTTGCCTATGGGCTTGGGATCAGCCTGGACGGCAGCCAAAGCCAGAAGGAGGAAGGCACACAGAGCGAAGATCTTCATCGTTGAAATTGTTGATGCACTCTGGAAGATGATCCACCTTTTTATACTCCAAGCATTTGGCCAGACCCGTTTCTAAATTTTAATATTACTGGTTTTAATTAGCACATTTATAAGCCATAATAAACAACTACTGTCGGTTAGGCTTGCATATTTTTGCTTTGACGTCTTTATTATTGTTTACGTAAGGGATATAATCATTAGCGAAAGTCCCCAACAAAACATTGATAAGAATAAATGACTTCAATTTTATTAAACAATGTTATCCTTAATTTGTTTTTTTCCCGGCACTTGGATGAGTGTGCGAAATTTCAGCTAGGATCCTGGGGCTTAAAGGCTTGGGATCAGCTTGAACGGCAGCCAATGCGAGGAGCAGAAAAGCGCAGAAAGCGAAGATCTTCATGGTAGAATATTTCGTAACTCTCTGGAGGTTCATCCGCCTTTTATACTAAAATTTATCAAATCGATGTATTCGCATATATATATGTACATATACGACGTCATTATTTTTGTTTTTTTTTTTTAATTTAGATTAATGGCATTTTGTGATTTGAGATACATACAGTTGTTGGCTGTTTTGTTAAGTTCTTTGTTTTTTCTTAAACTTTAAGTATAGTTTACTTTGTGCGAGTAGGTATATTTATCAACAGTTATCATAATTTTGCTGAATTTAATTAGCACATAAATTTCTCATATAAAAACAAGACATTCAAGATATTTTGCGTAGATGAAAAAATGCTTAGAAAGCAATCATTGTTTACCGAAAACAGGTTGCCTTTTAACAAGTTTTAAAATAGTCTATATCTGGGGTGTCACTGAAAACTGTTTCAACTAAATGTAAAACGTAAATTAAAATATGTGGGTAGAAAAAAATTATAGCTTATCAAGCTGAAATATTTTCAAACCAAGGGTAAATGCCTAACGGAATAATTTTAAATGGTCAATTGTGACGTAATTATGGATAAGTGAATATAAGTCGAGTGTCGAACCCAGGGTTGCATACGAAATTATATTTCATTTTTGTTTTTATCGATTACTGTAACCCAAAATCATCGTTCATCTTCAGTGTCATCGGTGTATCTCCACCACTAGATTTTAAGGTAAATATAAACCCCAATTAAAACTAACAATTTGCTGCAGGTTCGTTTATTTTCAATATAAAACGTTTATTCGAGAAACCCCGGTGAGTTGTGGCGGTAGACGAAGAGAAAACAGATTGTGGCTTGAAACCGCGTGAGGGATCTCCCGATTTCTCGGGCACAAACTAATGCGTCATCGCCAAACAGACAACTTTGTGCAATATTTTGTTGTGGCCTGCCGTAAATGTTTAGCCGGCACTCATTTCTGGGTTGTGTGTGTGCGCGTTGGCGTTTGGCTAATGTTTTTTCGCAATGTTTGATTAGAAAGTCGGCGGCGCCAATGGGAGAAGAGGAAGAAATTGCTAGATTTCACATCCGCGGAGCACCCCCTCTCTCTCTCGAGAAACTCTCTCGCGCGCTCTCTCTTGTATTTCGCTTTGTTTCACCCATCATGCATCGGAATAATACCCTGTGGAAACAAGAGTTTGCTGGACTAGTAAAAAAAACTAGAGTATCAAACAAAAAACTTTTAGCGACCTTAAAAACAGGTGACGGGCGCAACCTTAACGATTTTCTCAGCTTTCATATCAGCTATTTACAAATAAATCCCACTTCAAGATTAACGAATAGTTGTCACTTTTTTATAAGAAATAAAAACGTGAATGAGGAGTCTATATATTTTTAAGGATGTACAAAATCATGTTGTGTAAAAATTGTACAGCTTGTCAAAATTTATAATAAGCAAATACTACGGCTTACGCAAAACGGTATCTTACAGTCGACTACAGTCTTATTGACAGCTTTATGAATTCTATTTCATGACCTTTCGCAATTGCAGGCGCTCAGAACCATCATGGACTTCGCCAGCGTACTCGGTAAAAGCGAGGCGCACCAACGCACCATAATCCACCTGGACATGGACTACTTCTACGCTCAGGTGGAGGAGATTCGGGATCCTACGCTGCGATCAAAGGCTCTGGGAATCCAGCAGAAGAACATTGTGGTCACGTGCAACTATGTTGCGCGGGCCAAAGGAGTGGCCAAACTGATGCTAATTGCGGAGGCTCAACGAATCTGTCCAGAGTTGGTTCTGGTCAATGGAGAAGATCTCGCCCCGTATCGACAGATGTCGCAAAGAATCTTCGACCTCCTACTTAACTACACTCCGCTGGTGGAGAAGCTCGGCTTCGATGAGAACTTCATGGATGTGACGGCGCTGGTGGAGCTCCGTCAGGCTCATGCCGCTGAGGCCCAGCAGAAGCCACCTGTGGGTCACACATACCCGGCGGATGGCACTCCATTATCCACCTGCGACTGTGGCTGCGCCCAGCGACTGGCGATTGGCACTCGGATAGCCCAGGAAATCAGAGAGGAACTCAAGCTTCGCCTGGGAATTACCTGTTGCGCCGGAATCGCCTTCAACAAGCTGCTAGCCAAGCTGGTCGGAGGCAGCCACAAACCCAATCAGCAGACCGTTCTCGTTTCTACGTATGCGGAGCAGTTCATGCGCGAACTGGGCGATCTAAAGCGCATCACTGGAATTGGTCAGAAGACACAGTGCCTCCTGCTGGAAGCTGGCATGTCATCAGTGGAACAACTGCAGCAGTGTGACATGGACGTGATGCGCAAAAAGTTCGGCTTTGAAACTGCCACCAGACTGCGGGACTTGGCTTTTGGTCGCGACACGAGCTCTGTCCGTCCTACCGGAAAACCTAAGACCATTGGCATGGAGGATGCCTGCAAGCCCATCTCGGTGCGAACCGATGTGGAGGAGAGATTCCGCATGCTGCTCAAGCGGTTGGTGGAGCAGGTGAGATAAGAGCTATAACATTTTCACTATATCAATTGATAATATTATTGATTAGCCGTTGCGTAGATTAAAAATTACGCATTATTTCTTTAAGCGAAAATAACAAAAACTTATAAAGCTAATCGTAAATGTTTATCTAGTTGATCAATTAATAAATTCTTCTTTAATCCCTTAGGTTGCAGAGGATGGTCGCGTTCCCATAGCCATTAAGGTGGTGCTGCGAAAGTTCGATTCCCAGAAGAAGAGCAGCCACCGGGAGACTAAACAGGCCAACATCCTACCCTCCCTTTTTAAGACCTCCGTGTGTCCAGGAGAAACCGGCGTGAGCAAGGTACAACTGGCAGACGGAGCCCAGGACAAACTCCTCAAGATTGTGATGCGCCTGTTTGAGCGTATTGTGGATATGAGTAAGCCATTCAACATCACCTTGTTGGGTCTGGCCTTTTCCAAGTTCCAGGAGCGGAAAGTTGGCTCCTCGTCCATAGCTAATTTCCTGATCAAGAAGGCGGATCTCGAGGTGCAATCGATCACCTCCCTAACAAATACGAGTCTCACGAGTCCCACAGCAGAGAGTCCCACATCAGACGAATTTGCCTTCCGCTCCTCACCAACAACATTCAAGCCGAGCGATCAGTTCTACAGGAGAAGAGCTACTACGGCATCGCCAGTGCCCATGCTGCTGGATAATGGTTCCGAATCAGCAGCCACGAACTCGGACTTCAGCGACTTCTCCGAGACTGAAGTGGAACCGTCTCCGAAAAAGAGTCGAATCGGACGGATACTGGTGTCCAAGCGCAGCCGTTTGGCGGCGGATGTGGGGGATACCGCTGCGGAGGTGGCCTCGCCCAGCAAGTTGCGCGTCTGTGATCTTCGTCTGAATTCACGAGACAGCGAAAAGGACTTCCCCATGAGTACTACGCCCTCAACTTCTACGTCCGCGCCGGCTCCTCGTTTCCGCACCGTCCAGCCACCGAATACGTTGCTGCAGCGAATCGACGGCAGCCTCCGCTTCGTGTCCACGCGCACTGCCAGTCGCTTGAGCTCAAACGCCAGCTCCACGGCATCCTCGCCTCTTCCTTCGCCAATGGACGACTCCGCAATAAGCGCACCCAGCACACCAACCATGTCGTTCCCATCACCCATCGCTACAGCAGTGGTTACCACCACTTCCAGCACGTCGCCGAGCGATGTCCTCACGAATATCGCTTGTCCAGCGGGCGTGGATGCAGAGGTGTTCAAGGAGCTACCCGTAGAGTTGCAAACCGAATTGATCGAGTCGTGGCGCAGTTCCCTAGTGGCGGCGGTGGAACAAACAAATGGGACAGGAGCTACTACAACCACAGCGATAGCAAGTGGAGCACCAGCCACTGCCACCACCGCTAGCGGAGGTCAGAAGAACACACTGTATCGCTACTTTCTGCGGAACAAGTGATGCAGTGCATCCAAGCATCACATCGTTTTTAGTTTTAGGGACAAAGTGAATAAATCCGTTTATATATATGATATATTTTTGTAGGTATACGGTTACAGATTGTAAGTTGAGGGCGCCGCTTTAGACGAACTTAAGCCTAGAATACATAAATAAAATCGTGGATAGATTTCTAGGAGTTATAAATGAACAGTTTATCTAAAAAAAAAAATTTTAAGGAACGGGAAAATTAAAAAAATATATATATTTGGTATTCCTAGTTTTTCCGAATGTGTGACTTAGTTTTCGAAATTATTTACAAGCCCAACAAAACTTAACAGTTGGGATTTTAATAAAAATTATTTTAGAATATCTATTTCCATCTTTAAAATTTGTTTATTTTATTACCTTGAAATCTACCTACTACAATGACCAATTACAAATATGAATACTCAGCGCGACAGTATCTTTTTCAGAGGCTTACTAAGTAGTAAAATCCTAGTGGGTCTTAGTCTAGAGCGGTTTCCCTAGCAGCTGTGAGTTCCAAGACACAAGTCACATCCTTGTTGCACATTCGAAATACATTTATTACTTCATTTACACTTCATATCATACAAATTCAATTGGTTGGGTTACCTACTTAAGTATAGTTAATACAGAATATCTGAACCCTGACATCTCACACAAAGGAACAAAACTTTAGCTAATTGAGCTTGACTTGATACAAGTAAATTGATTTTCGGTTTTCTGTAGTTATTACCTCGAAGAAAATGGCAACGAAAGTTGGACAGTATAAAAAATGTCTTTAACTTATGCTAACGATAATTAAATAAAGTGAAGTCCTTAGATCGAGAAATGCATGTAGCTCTTAATCAAAGTGGGCGCGGGAAAGTGGAAGAGGTTCCATCAGTGGCTTAGCCAGCCGCACTTAATGAAGAACTTGCGCAACGAAGTCTCCATGGGACTGCCCAACGATGGTGCTCCGCTCAAGCAGACAGTCTTCACCGAGAGGTAGGTGGTGGGCGTGATATTGTGCTTCTTGCACAGGTCCAGCTCGTTGTGGCTCAGAAGGTCGCTGCCCAGCGGCTGGGGCAGGTGCCTAAGTTCCTCCAGCTGAGTGCGCAGCTTAAGACTCATACTGGGCACTGGATCACTGCTTCCGCCGGCGGCCTCGCTTTGTATTTTGTGGCTGCCGCTTTGCAGAAGCTGAGGTTGCTGATGCAGCGGCTGCAGATGTTGTTGGCTTCCCTTCGCCGAGTTCGTGGGCAGATTCGCCATCGTCGTAGCCGTGGAAGTCACTCCCGTCGTCGCTCCCGAGTCCACTGTTATCCCTATCCCCATTCCCATCCCCGTCGTCTGCAGCATCGTAGCTGCCGACGATCCCCGACAGCTATCCAAGTAGCTTCTGCTGGGCAATAATGCGCCGGAGCAGGTCGGGTCGACGATGTGGAGCGTGTTTCTTGGTGCGATTGAATTTGAACTTGCCTCGACGCCGCTTGACATTTCGCTAAAAGAAATAAACCCAAAGATTAATAAAGGATTTAATGGCCTACGGGAATGAGTTGCGATCTGACAATTAGATTAAAGCTTCCTCCTAGGAAAGAGTTGCTTCTGAAGTTTAAATTTATTACTAGATCGCAACTGGTTAAAAAAATACTTACACCTTTCTGAGATTCGGTTGTGGGGAGTGCAAGGAAGAGCTTGGCGGCCGTTGACTTCCATTGGAGGGTTGCGTGTGGTCCTGTGGTTAAACATTGTCTTATAGAACCATTCGAACGCTCGTTGTTTGGCGCGTTTATAATGCAGGTGAGCTGAATATCGTGAGACAAGACGGAAAAGCGATTGTAAGAGTTTGGTCAAGTCAGGTCGGGTCGGTAAAAACAAGGCAGCACACACGATATTCAACTCGTCATGCATTCTCATGGGAGGAGCAATCACTCCAAGGGAAATGAAATCAAAACTATCCTGAACTTCTATTATTCGGTTTGGATTTTTTAAACAATCTGAATATTTTATCTTTGCAGTTAGTTTTTAAGAGAATGAGTTAAAAGAATATTTTAGTGACAAAGAAATAAAAAATTAAATTCTCATTATTTTATGGGTTCCTCTTAAATTGTTTACAAATTTCTATCAGAAAATTGAATATTTTTAGAAAACAAAATCGATTCTTTGACTTTTAGAAACCAAGCCTTAAAAATTACTTTAGATAGTTTGATTTCGATCCCCCCAAAGTGTAGCCTTATACTTACGGTCTTGCCGTGGCCATACGGTCCCGTGGAGCGATGTGTGGCGTTTGCCGCATGCTGCTCAAAGTGGATGCAATCCTTGATCTTGGTCAGGCCATTGTAGCGGTACCGGTAGAGCTCTGCCTGCCGGATGCGCAGCTCCTTCTCGCGCTCCAGTGATCCCATGAGCCGCTCGTACTCGTTTGAGGTGTAGAACTGAGCATAGACCCTAAATCTGTCCCGGAACTCGCGCTGCTCCTTTGTGAGTCCTTGGTGTAGAGCGTAATTCCGGTTGCGGAAGAAGTTGGAGACCAGCTGGTAGTCCCTAACCATCCGTTTCCTGCGAGCTCGCTCTCTGAGTCGGCGGGTGTAAATGTCCACGTGGGCCAGCTTCAGCATCACATCCACCTCCGTGTCCTCGGAGCTTAGCGAGATGTTGGAGATCAGTTGCTCGGCCGTGGGGTCGTACTCCCGCTCGAAGCTGTCCCTGTTGGGCATGTAGCCAAGCTGCATGGCCTCATCGGAGTTGATGTCCAGTGGAGGCAAGGAGGCCAGGGCATTGGTGCCCAATGGACCGGCATCGTCGTCTCCCGTGTGATCGATGAGGCGGGGTCTCTGACTCTGGGCCGGCGTCCAAGTGGCCCGGCCAATTGTGCCATTCACGAACTTGTTCACATACTCCTCCTTGGCGTCCTCCGCCGACTTGGTCTCGATATGCTTGCTAATGTCCTCCCAGTTGCCAAAGCCATACTGCTCGATGGCGTCCAGCAGCCGGATCTCCTCCCGCGCTGTCCACGCCCCCTTCCCGCGGAACACACTCAATATGGAGGTACCCGTGTCCATGAACTGGTAGGCATGGTTATTTTGGTGGGCTCCGATCTCCGCCCCCGCGGCAAAACACTGCGCAAATAAATAAACAATAATACAGCGTAAATACCAAGTCAGCTGTTTTTTAATCAACATGGTGAAATTGCCGGTTGTGTGCATATGTATATATGTATTTCCAGATGAGTCAGTTTTTCGGTTCCAGACTGTCGACGCATCTCTAAGTTGTTCGAGTATGGGTGCGGCAGGGTGGGTCGACTTTGTTGACAAAAAAAATATCTCCTAGGAATTCTTTGCTTTTGAAAAATAATCTTTATAAAACACCCTATCACTCCCCCTAATAAGAAGATTTCTTAAAATATGACTATAAATTTCTCATTTAATTAATTTTAATAAAACAAAATCTTTTTCTTAATTTTGTTCACAGAATAAGTCTACATTTTTGTTTTATGAAAATAAGTTAACTTGATTTAAGATCTATTGATTACACATTTAATTAGAGATCCCCAAAACAAAATTTCATTTTTCCAGAACCCCGAAAACGGCCCACCCTACCACCGCACACATGCATAAGTACGCGCGTCGGTTGACAGCGTGTATGTGTGAGTTACTTACTTGCAGACACAAATCGAAATTTTCGCACTCCGCACAATGCACCCGAATGCCCTGAATATCGTCCTGGCAATTTGTGCAATTATACTTTGTGAATAAATCCGCGATTGTGGTCATTTTGGCCCAAAACGTGGATTTTTCTCGACAAAAAGAGTTGTGCGAAAAAACCTATGCCAGCAGTGTGACCAGACAAGGAGACAACGCCATATTACTTTGTCAAGAATTTGTATATACCCTGCCAACGAACCAGTTCATTATAGCAGTGTTGCCTCACCGGCTATTTTTTTATCCGAATGTTCAATTTATAACCTAATTATTTTTAAAAGAATCTGAAAAATTGCAAGTGAATAAATTTGTAAATTTACTACTTACCAGAATATTATTATTTAATAAAATCACGAGTTTATTATTTAATAAAATAAACAAAACACAATTTAAGAAATCAAATATGTTTCCGACACTCACGGTTTTCTTTTTACCCACTCATTATTTCTCGTTGGGCTTGATATTCCACAATCAAATAATTATGCGTTAAGTATTGAGTTTATTTAATAATTTCAAAAGTTTAATTCGAGTGTTTGCCTTTTCTTTTAGTTGATTTTTACGCTAATATCACAAAAATAATATATAAAACTAAAAATATATAAAATGTTAATATCAAACCGAAACCAGGTGAACATAAATACGAATATATATGATGGTTGTAACACTGATCGTGTAGTGCTGAACTAAAATCAGAAAACTCGAGGTGCTTAAAATGCAATTAGTTACATAATCATAAAGCGGTGGTCGGGGAATTAAAACTTAAGCTAAATTATGAAAATTATAGAAGTTGATAAACACTATATATCTTTTGTCTCAAACCAAAAGTTACAAATTCAAAGCTTTCGAACAATATCCCGGATGCTTAAAACTATTATGAATCGGGCGTGGGATTGCCGTGATATTGTAGATTACAATAATCGGGAAGGATTTGGGGCTAGGCTACGCTATATAAATAGTTGATTATTCGATTAGTTCATACATGTGTATATGCTGAATATGTTAATATTATTGTTAGTATTGCTGTCTTACTCCGAGCAGTAGCCGAATTGTTATGGGTTCCAGATATCTCAGTGGGCGGTGAGGACTAGTTTGTGTTGCGAGTGGCTTTGGTGGCATTGTTGCTGGATTACTGTTGCTAGTTTTCTTGGACCAGAGGAAAACAAAACGAGTTACACGATACAAAATGGTTTAACAAATCTTAAACAGATATGGCAAGTTTCTTGTGCAGCTGCGTTTCTGAAACACGCACACGGCCAACAAAATTCATCAATTTGAGTACCTAAAAACGTCTAAATAAGTCTATTTGAGCGCCAAATTCGGGTTGGGTGTCGCACCTGCGTCTGATCCTTGGGTTCAAAGAAGGTTTAACAATACTGTTCGAGGACATTAAAAAGTTTGAGATTCACGATTTTCACAGATACGGTTCGATTCAAATTCGCTTGCGTAAGGAACTAAGGAAAAGTCACAGCGCAGGCGCGACCGCAGTCGTCATAATTGACAACTGGCAACGGATACGGATTCGGATCCAAGTCCAGATCCGTCCGGGCCGCCTGCTCCAGGCAACGCGACTCATAAGCAGGCGGCCACCACGGCGGATGGGCTCTCAAAATTTGCATAAGCGAGTAGTCCTAAAGCATAACTATCAACTAATTTGGTATGTAAAGTCTTTCTGTCTTTGTCATGGGGATGGGTGCGATGAGAGGCCGAGGTCCAATGGCTATGTCCAACTAGCAACATGAGAACCAGCATGCCGGCCGACGCCATAAACTCCTGACCAAACTCACTCGGATATGGGAACCTATTCGGTGCGCTCGGTGGCTCGTCTTTCTTTCTGAACTCTCGCGCCTCATCGTCGTCATGTTGGGAAGCATCTAAACGTTGGCTAAGCTTGGCGGGGATCACTGGTATGGAATTGGGTTGAGTGCTAACATGGCTTCTAATGGCGGTCAGTCCAACAATATGCATCTGATTGCATAAACGGTGACCGGGAACGGGATGGCTGCTGCTGCTGCTGCCGGTGGAACTGCAGCTACTGCTGCTGGCGAAGATCGGTGTCGTAGGTGCGGATAAGTTACTGGGGTGTGGATTAATTTGCTTCTTGATAAAATACTTGAAGAGGGTTTTGTTCCTCTTTAGTTACGGTTGAATCTGCTTCTTGGGTTTTTTTAACTCAGCATCTTCGTCACGCTTGATCTCGGTGTACCGCTCGCCCTTGAGCGAGACGATCTTATTGTCCCGGTAGCGCACCAGCTTGCGCGGCTCCATTTTCGGCACCACTGGTTTGTACTCACGCTGGGTGGCGTTCTTGTCGACATAGGAGTACCTAATGGGAAAAAATTATGTTATTAAATATTTTATTTATATTAAAACTAAAAATCAATTGATTTCTATTCACATGATTTAAAAAATTATAAAATTATTTTTTTTACCGTTTGAAGCATAACTTTTTGTTAAAAAGTATTTATTAACTTATTGCTATTTGCTCAAAGTTTCTTTACATGTTTATAGTGTTACAAATATCGAGGTGTTGCAGTTTCATATAAGTAGTAATAATTATGGATATTTGGTTATTTAATTCATGGTGGAGAAGTAGTGGCTATAATAAAAATTACTTACCTGGCGATGATGCGATTTTTGAGCTCATTATCGTCCACTACAACATTCTTCTTGATGTAAGTTGTATGGGACTTGTCAGTAATACACTGGTTGGTTTCCTGGCGATGCAAGAGGATCTGGGTTGCGCTATCAATGTCGCCTTTGGAAATGGCGATGCAATGCTTTATCTAGAAATTGGGATTTAAAAAGATAATTGTAAATTGATATATCTTAGATTTCTATGAATTCTCTGATGAAATAACAATTACCTCGGCAATGGCCGAATCCGGGAACATTTCCTGGAGCACTTCAGTTTCGTCCAGGAAGTAGTCGCAAGTGGAGCTGGAGCTGTCGGTGGATCCTCCATCACTGGTCTCCGACAAATGCTGGGAACGCTTGCTGTTCCCTCCACCACCGCTGCTGCTGCTGTTTGAGGACAGCTCGTCCTTTTCGGAAGTGGAAGAGTTGCGAGCTCGCAACTTTGACTCCGGAATAATGCTCGACAGGCTCAAGGAGCTGAAGATATAGGACAGATTGAATGAAATCATTTAAGGAGGAGGTATATAATTAAAACCCACTTGAGCGACAAGCTGATGGTGTCATGGTTTCCTTGGTTTTTCTCCATCTCGGTAAGCTCGTTGGCCAGCTTGTAGATCCAGTCGCAGATGATGCCTTGGTCAATGGTTGGAAACTTTTCAAAGTAGGCGCCCATCATCTCAACGAAACCCTCCACATCGAAGCACGGGTCCTGCGAGGCCTCTTCCAAAATCGAGATGATGTATGACAGGACGATCTCGTCCACCACGCTAAAGTCGGCTCCTGGGATATGGCCACTGATGAACTGCACCAAACTGCGCTTCACCATCTCGTGCTGCTTCTCCAGATTGGTCATGATGGCTTTAATGGCTACACGGACTTCTAGAAGTATCTTTCACTGGATCGGCGAATTTTCGGGGTTCGGGACTCGAACGGTTTGTTCTCGCAGTTTTCACTCAGAATGCTGAAACTCACTCGATGGGGACTTCCCCGGGCCTTAGAGCATTTCCTGACAATCGATTAACTTAATATTAGTCTAGTTCTGCAACAATTCCTTTTTAAAACAGTTTAAGTTTTACGAGCTGCGCCTTTCTTTTGCTTCTCCTGCTGCTTCTTCTTCCTGCAATCAATAATACTTCGATACACATGCAGCTGCCATCGATAGTGGAAAATCCAGGAAAATTGTCACGGGAGTCTATCGATAGGGGGCTTTTAAAGTTATTGGCCGCGTTCAGCAGAACAACATGATCACTGATCACTGATAAATTTCTGATGATAGTTAACCACCGAATAATTATAATCATAATGTACAAATTCTTTCATCGTAGTGTTCGGCTGCTAGCGGGTATTGATTGCTGAAATATCTATAAAATTAACAGAAGAAGAAGAACATAAGCAAAGGCAAACCAAATTTATTTTTATTAATGTTTTTGTATACAGGTAGCTTATGTTTAACAACTAGAAAATAACTAGTTATTAAAAATCTATGACAGTAATAATTTATTTTAAAGGAAAGAGAACAATTTTAAATTTTATGAATAAGTTGGGCTTTTTGAAGTAATGAAATGATTTTAGTTACATATGTGTTCGTTGGAAGGGATTGCTATGATGTTGGCTGGGTTGTCGGAAAGAAAGGATGTGGCAAATAAAATTAAACCCATAAATTTATATTGAATCTGTTTTAATTGTTTTCATTTTTTTTCACGAATGTTGTGCCTAATACTGTTATTTCGGGGGTGTACGTAAACAATTTGGCAACTTTAATTTTTAATTAATATAAGCTTCAACATTTGGCGATAGTAATGAAGCTGCTGACAGTTTCTTTGCCGAATACTTTAAAAACAGTTATGTATATGTATAATGAGCGTTCAGCAGATCAAAATCGACCTTGATTACTAATCCATCAGTTCTGCAAAACACGGCCATTTGATAATATATATGTAAGAATTCAATCTCGCAATATAAACTAATAAATGTCATAACCTGTATTAAGTAGATTATTTATCAGTGCTGCCTATTTATTACTGCCTACAAGGTATTATTATTTATAGGTTTCAGATTCAGATTTTATCTATATATATTCAACTCAAGTATCACTTCTGTCATCCGATAGTTACTTCACGAGCGCATCTCTAATGATATTGGAAAAGCGAAAGTCACGCAGCGCAGTAAACAAAACTCGGGACTATCGATAGTAGTCACAAACAGAATCCCGATTCCAGCCGGCATATTCCGGAACGTAGCCTGCCTCTTCTCGAAACGTCAATAAAGGTAAGTTAGCTTATATATAGCTTCCTAATTTCTATTCCCACCCGAATCTTTGCAGAGCAGTTGTTAATCCGATGGACAAGCGCGTCACAATCCTGCTGCCCAACGCTCGGCGGCAGAATGTGAGAGTGACGGCGAACATGACGTTGCTGGAGATCCTGGAGACGGCCTGCTCCAAGCACGGCTACGACGCGGAGGAGCACTGCCTTAAATTCCACAACAAGGAGGTCGGATTGACGCAGCAGTTCCGCTTCAGCGGGCTGCCCAACAATTGTGTCCTAGAGATGGAGCCCACAGAAAAGCGTCGCACTCTGAGCAATGTCGTCGTCTGCGTCCAGTTGAACGACGGATCCCGCCAGCAGGCCGACTTCTCACCCAACGACTCCCTGTGGCAGGTGGTCCAGAAGCTTTGCGAAACGCAGGTCAAAGGTTACGAGAGCCCTGTCATTATTTACATGCGCAGCGAGGTCATTGGCCAGGAGCAGATGCACCAGACTACGCTTAAATCCCTGGGTATCTTGGAGGGCCGCGCCATGATGCGGCTAATCGACAAGAAGCCCGAGGATCTTAAGACCCAAGCCAACGTGTATAAAGCTCCAGCAGCCAAAACTCCGGTAGATAACGACGACCAGCCCAGCACCTCCCGCTCTGCAATGGCAGCTAGTGGAGGAGGCGGAGGCTTTGCCCTCACCAGCAACATGATCAAGAATCTGAAGCGCACGGCACCTGAAGAAAATGCCTCAGGAAGTGAACCAGCCAAGCCCTCTGAAAAATCTGACCAAGAACAGCAGCCACAGGCAGAGGCGCCCAAGTACGACTGGGGCAGTGGCTCCGGGTACTCCATGCACCATGCACCGGAGCAGAAGCAGGCCGAGAACGAAGCCGAGGAAAATCCCGGGCGGGCACCGCCGGTGGTAAATGTGATTGGACCGCGACAAGCAGTGCTTTTCTCCCTGGACGAGACCGCGAAACATGCCGACGACCTGCCGGACTCATTCTTCGACCTGACCGTCAACGATCTGAAAATGGTGCTGCGCGATTTGAAACGCACTTCGAGCGGAGACGACGACGCTCCCTTGCTGACGGCCAAGCTTAGGGAGCTCGAGCGACAGAAGACCATGCTGGCCAAGCTGAATCAGTACAAGGACTGCGTGCTGCGCATCCAGTTTCCTGACCGATTCGTCCTTCAGGGCATATTCAAGCCGCACGAGCCCCTGTCTAAGGTGGAAGAGTTTGTTCGCGAATTCCTGGCCCAGCCTGGGGAGCAGTTTCACCTCTTTACCATACCGCCGAAGAAGGTGCTGCCGACTAATGAAACTCTTCTGGAGCTGAACTTTGTGCCCAATGCCATAGTGCACTTCGGCTTCCTCAAGGACTCGCTGAATGCGGTGAGCAATCGCTTCGTGAAGGAGCAGTACGTGGGGCAACTGACATCCGAAGAGGGAGCTCACTATGCCGTGCAAAAATATCGCCTCACCCGGGTCACGGCATCGGGGACTAGCTAATAGATACATGGCTTTAAGCGAACAGTTTGCGTGATATTAAATGAATCCGCTTTATTTCTATATTTTCTAAATATTGTATTACATGTAAATTGCAACATGAAGGAATAAGTTTACTTTCCTTTGGTTTTTTTATTTTTTATGCATGGAGTGAAAAACAATTGCGGTAGCTCGTTTATCCACTTTGTGAGCACTATAAGAAAATATCATGTGATTCAATCGAAAACTTAAATTTACTCTTACCATATTTGGAGCCAACTATCACCGGACAGCCCGAGTGCAGGGTCTTGAAATTCATAGCACCAGAGTTATGAAGATTGTGCCAGAAGACCGCCGATCCCTTCTTGGGCGTAACGGATATATTGATCATCGGGAAAATGGTGGCACCACCCTTATAAGTATACTTAATGAATCTTTATCTCTGCTGACTTACGTAAAACAAAACTGTGGCCATGCGATCCCCTTTTTCCCATCGAGTCTGCAAATATTAAACAAGGTGAGCAAGTAGTTTCCTTATCACCGATAAAACTCACTTGATTCATGTAGTTGTGGTAATCGGTATGCAACACATAGTGGCCACCCAAGCCGTAGTTTATCAGGGAGAATTCATCGCTGTTCTCCATACTGAGACCGGTCATGTCCGTCACTCGTTGGCCAAGTGTTTCAACTACTATGCCTTGGGGTAACCTAATGGTTGAGTCCTTGGAGGCTCGGAATTCCGACATAGCAGCATTATCCACCAGGGATAAGGAGAACTCGCTTGTATTAAGCAGCCAATTGATTTCACTTTCGTAGATAACATCATGGTACACCACCATGTAAGGATCGAAGCTTAGCTCCTCCATTTTCAGTGGGGCAATCAATGTGAAGGGCGTCGTGGAACTGTTGTAGCGGCAGTGGAGTCGACTGGGTTGACGGAAAGTAGCGCGGCAGTTTCGCTTGGTGACCACCTCCTCATAAATCCATTGGGAGAGATGATCCTTTGGTGGTTCCCCAAAGTCATAAATAGCGTCAGGAGTTTCTTGGTTCTTCATCAGGAGTACTGCCCAGGACTTTTGAACAGAGTACCTGCTAAAATGATTGACCCCGTGCAGGAGTTTTTGGTCAGTGAATTGGTTTAAGGAGATGTTGAACCAAGCCTCCGCCCGATCTTCCCTTCGATTGTTTATGCAGAACTCGCCCAGCGCATAGCAATCTCGGGCTGACAGTGCTGTTCTGGAAAATATGAATGGTAATCACGCTAATGTAACTTTAATTCTCTTAACTTACTCTGGCATTAAGAATCCTGCCAAATAACCTTCTGCCAGATCATCTGGTTTTAGGTCATAAAAGGAAATTAGGTCTTCGATGCCGCGACAGGCCCGTTCCAAATCTAAAGATGTGGGTAACATCGTTCGCATTTTATGGGACTTATCAATGTGTTCTGCAATATATTTAAATACAAAATTGGAAAATCGGTTTGGGAAAGGTATATGTAATACCTAATTCATCCTTGTTATTATTTAAGCTATAATGATGCCACTTCCTCCAATCCGTATGTAGCCGATGTAACAGACGAAAGCTGTTAACTGGATTTCCCAAGTACGTTTCATAGTTATTATTCATTTGGTAATGCTCGGAGTTCATAGTTTTTAGAGATATGTAAGGAGATCAAGGATAAATAATTGTTAGGGAACTTTATCATATACTTACTGCTCCAATATGTGCAGCTTTTTCTTTAGTTTTTCCACGTAACCGTTTAGGTTCTCGACCAGCTTATCCTCAACCTCGAGTAGCTTCATCAGCTCCTCTGATGAGGCAGCATAAGACCTCCTGGGAACTGCCTTTGCAAATCGATTAAAGAAAATGAGACAAGCGCTTAAAATGAACATAACTTTAATACATTTAAAGTTCAACATTTCACTTTTCTAATGAAGAGGCAAATAATTTCTCAACTTACTATAAGGAACCTAGACAATTTGTCAAATTAGTTAGGGTTTAATTAAATTAGAGAAGCTAATTGTGGTACAGACAAAAAAATTCAACCATGCATTTTATACATATACATATATATTTATAATCGGCTTTGTGGACCTTCGGCGAGAGCTACGACTTATTCTATATACTCCCCATCCCATCTTCTGTCAATTTTTCCACCCCAAAAAATGATATAAAAACAAAACCGATTTTAAATCAAACAATTGTTTCTGGATGGAAAGGAGACTTTCATTTCTTATTGTGCACAGAGGAGAATAGATTTTCAGGTCTTTGGCTTGACTAATAAAATTAAAGAATAACAACTAGCTAATTTGGTAACTCAATGGTGTTATCACGAAGGTTATAATTCATTTGCCATTCCGTTTTAAAAGTAAAATGTACTCAAAATATTTAAAATTTATTGGTTTTTTAAGTATATTCACAATCTACTGCCAAGGATTTGCCAAATCTGTTCCAAAGAAATCCTATGCCGCCTCAACAGTGGGACTGATGAAGCTTCTCGAGGTTGAGGATGATCTTGTCGAGAACATAAAAGGTTACGTGGAAGTTCTAAAGAAAAAACTCGATTTGGTGGAGCAGTAAGAAAAAACAATAGTTTCGCCCTGAAAAATGACAAATCTCGGAATTTTTAAAAGATCCCTAATAACTATGAGTTCTGAACACGAGCAAATGGATAACGATTATGAAATGTACTTGGGAAATCCAGTGAACAGCTTTCGTCTGTTACATCGCCTACATACGGACTGGAGGAAATGGCATAACTATGCCTTAAATACTAATAAGTGGGAATTAGGTATTAGAAATTCTTATCTAACACAGATAAGCGTTAAATAATTTGTTTAAAAATACTATTTTTTAGAGCCCATTGAGAAGGCCCACAAAATGCGAAAGCTGATACCCACCGCATTGGACTTGGAATGCGCCTGTCGCGGCATCGACGACCTCATGACCTTTTATGACCTAACGCCGGAAGAATTGGCAGCTGGCAATTTGGCAGGATACTCAAAGCCAGAGTAAATTTTGGTTGGTGTACTTTTTTTTTTCAATTTTATCATAAATGATTTTCAGGACAGCACTGACAGCTCAGGATTGCTTAGCCCTTGGAGAGTTCTGCATAGGAAATAGAAATAAAGAGCGTGCAGAGGCTTGGTTTAATACCTCCCTGGCCCGTTTCGAAAACACTCTGAAAAGGTACTCAGCTCACAAGGCTTGGGGAACACTCCTGATGATGGACCAGGAGTTTACTGCCGCCTCTTATCACTTCGGAAAAAAACCTGAAGAGTTGGAGCACAGCAATGTAGATATGCTCTTTGAAAATGCGATAGCCACTAAACTGAATTGCAGTGCTGTTGTCAAAAAACCCAGTCGACTTCTTTGCCGCTACAACAGTTCCACGACGGCCTTCACGAAGATCGCTCCACTGAAAATGGAGGAGCTGAGCACCGACCCCTACATGGTGGTTTACCACGATGTGATCTACGACAGCGAAATTGATTTGATTTTTAACTCAAGTCAGTTATCTTTATCCCTTATCAGCGCGGGTCAGAAGTCGGAGGTTAGAAGCTCCAAGGACTCCTATATAGATCATACGGCATCCGAATTGCTTGATAAACGGGTGACCGATATGACCGGCTTAAACATGGATGGAAGCGAAGCTTTCACGCTGATTAACTACGGAATAGGTGGTCATTATGTGCTGCACCATGACTATCGTAACTTGCAGAATACGGTAGGGTTTTTGGGAGATCATAAAAACATCTGCTTTTATTATACAATCTTTGCAGACCCGATTGGATGAAGGAGATCGCATAGCCACTGTTTTGTTTTATGTAAGTCAGTACTATTCATCACAGATATCCTTTTCTTAGTCTGAATCCTTTCCAGCTGGGAGATGTTGATTCGGGGGGGCGCTACCATTTTTCCGATGATTAATATTACTGTTACTCCCAAGAAGGGATCAGCGGTCTTCTGGTACAATCTTCATAACTCTGGTGCTATGAATGAAAAGACCCTGCACTCAGCCTGCCCAGTGATTTCTGGTTCTAAATACGGTAAGCTTTAGCATAACGCATTTTATATTTTTATATGATCCTTTGAACTTGTTTCTTTTAGTGCTGACAAAATGGATAAACGAACTGCCGCAAGCGTTCCGTACTCCATGTATGAACAATTCAAATCTTTTGCCGGAAAGCAATGATCTGAGATTAGAAAAATATGTAGTCTAATCTGAAAAACAGGGGATAATACAATTTTTGTGCAAATATTAGGTTCCAGTAGAACCTGTTCATTTTGTATTTCATACAAAATTTCATACCTATGTTCATATTATTAAACCATATGTTCCATCAAACATATGTATATTATTTTGTATATGTATGTACATTTTTGGAAACAGCCAAGTTTACTTACCGTTATTGTTTAACATAAAGTCTGCTAAGAAACTAAAAACAAATCTAAACATATATTTTTTAAAATCATAATTTTCGTTTTTCCGGATGATATCGGCTATATGTTTTACAGTTATCCGCTCGGCCAGTGCTGCCAAACAAGTGGAGAGAGCGAAAGAGAGGAGCCCCACGTTTATTTACAGTTTCTTCGGCTTACCGCGATAGCAACTTCGATTCGGATTCGGTTTCGGATTCCGCTTATGTTTCAGTTTCTGATTCGGCTTTCAGTCGTTGGCCGCGCGCCAGAGCAACAAGTTAAGTTTCGCACCTGGCCAGGTGATCGCGGTATCCGCAGGTTGTAAGTCGCTAACGTTTCGCTTTGGCAACACAGTCCAAATATTTTGTAGAGCCAAGGCAATATCACCTCAGACAAACCGCTACATTTTGGGAGTGCTTAAAGCAGACTTACAAAATTAAATCGAGTGCATAATTCGGGTTAACATTGATTAGGGCAGTGCTAAATGTTTTTGGTTGTGTGTGTGTAAATCGGTTTTGCGCTAATTTCGGGCGAAAAAATTAACGCGGCCAAAAGAGCTAACGAAATTAAAGCGTATCGAAAACAACTTTTACCTATGCTGCCAGTTTCAAAACGAGGCAGAACTGTTGTTGTTTTAGTTGTTGTTGCCGTTGAACGTGCCGTCGCCGTGTTGTTGTTTTTGTAGTGTGTTATGGTTTTTGGAGGCGTGGCAGTGTAGTTGGCATGTGCGCAGCCGCCTTAAGTTGGCAGTGACAATAGACTAAAAAGACAGTCAGCCGAGGAAATTATGGAGCGCTGACCAACAAACCAAAGCGCTGGCAATTGGAAAGTTGTTGTTATGCTCAAGAGAGCAGCGAAGGAGCCAAGTGCCGCCAGACGGGAATATCGCTGGATGTGTCGCTAAATTAAACACCAGAGATTCATTCCAAAATTTATAACGAGACAAGACATTTTATTACGTATACGTCTTGCTTTTAATTAAGTTTTTAATTAATTTTTTTAAATGGCGAATGACATTATCCATTTTTTCATTAAAAACATTATGTGAAATACCAAAAATAATCAATAAGTATTAACTAAACCCAGCTTCGTTAAATAGTTTGCACTTAAAACCAAAACAAAAGTTAAGTTAGGCTTTGTATTACGTATACGTAAATTTTGCGAAATTAGGTTTTAATAAGATACTCAAGCGGAAGTAGCTGTACTTCGAATTCCAAACTTTGAAAAGCAGTTAAAACTAATTACATAAATGCGGTTTAAATTGCAAACCTTTATAGCTTACTTTTATGTTAATCATTATTTCACAATTTAAAGCAAATCAACTTCACCTGAATAAAAAATACACGAATTTAGTATGAAACTCTTTGCAAAGTTAGAAGTATCCGTTCAAATTACGTTGTCTACAGTTTTAATAGAAATTATTTTTCAAATACAATTTAATAAAATATTAAAGCGGAAATTGTTATTGTTTCTAATGTATGTGATTAAAGTTTATTAAAGAAAAATGGTTCAAATAACCTCTCTTATAAATAATATACAATGATTTAGTTTCATCCAGTTAAATATAATAGCTTATAATCGTTGTAAAGCAATTTAATACAATTTTGGTGCACTGAGCAATTTATATAGATTGATTAATTCTGCCAATTGGAAATCAGTTTAAAAAGTTAAAGATGTTTACAATGTTGGGGCTCAAAATATATTTTATATGAGTTAGGCTAGAAACAGTACCTACATTTTTTTTATTTTACTCAGGTTGGTGTTTCTTGGTAGATAAGAAAATATAATATAGTGCCACTGCCGCTGCCTCTGCCGCCGCTTCTGCCACCGCCTCTGCTGGCGCCTACGCACTCGTAGCGGTACGCGATTATCGGCGCATCTCAGTCGCGTCGCCGCCTCCGTCCGCCCATCTTCACTTTTACCGCCGAAAGAGAGAGTGAGAGTGTTTACCCCGCTCATTTGCGTTTCTTGTGTCTACCGGTTTTATTTTGGTTTTTATACATTTTTTTGTATTTTCTTTCAATTTACGCGCATTGCTTTGCTTTCCTCCCAGCGCAATACCGAATTAATTGATAAAAATAATAAGTTCATTAAATTTAATTAAATCAACTATCCGCTTCCGATCTGCGGCACGAGTCGCGAGCACAACGATAATAAAAGTTTATTGTGTTTTCCTCAGTTTTATTTTCCCCCCCAAAGCGAGTGAATAAGTGTGCAAAGAAAATCGTAAAGATAAATTACACGCATCCGACGAAAATAACTAATCATCGTAATTTCCGAAGAAAGAAATTTTCAAGCAAAATTCGAACGAGAAAAAAGTGGCAAAAATGAACTTTTTTGTGATTGGCTTTCTGATCATGCAGGCGGCAAGTGAGTAAATGCAGTTTTCATTTTTCCCGTTTTTCAATTTTTCGGAATTGCCGTTTCTGTTGTTGTTATTGTTGTTGTTGTGGTCGGGCTTTAATTGCTTTTCACGGGTGTCGGATAACAATTATTTAATTCGGGTTGGCAGCAGGCTGAAATACAAATGACTTAGGCGACGAACTTTTTTGGATTCGAATTTGTGTCTTAAGTCTTTAGACTCCACACTGCCGTTATCTTTTATGGAGAGTCTTATGACACCTGGATGTGCTGTAATACTAGACTGCAGATCCGAAACAGGTTGCCGATGATTCTCTTAAACGTTGGCCAAATGCAGTCGTCCAATCGTAAAGCGCGCCAAATTAAGGGGCATTTTGCTTGAATATTATACTCAGACCTAGACAATCTGGCATGATGTCTTGGACACCAATTTAAATGCCAATCAAATCAAATCCATGTAAAAAGTACGACACAAACGGCCAAAAAGCAACTTTAACAATCTTATCTTTGAATTTGTTTATGCATATTTAGCCACCGATCCGCGGCTGCAGTTTATTGGCATCGCTTTTTATATGGATTCAGTTTTGGTTCATTGTCTTCGCTCTAATCTGTTCGCTTAATGCAAAACCTTGCTGAAGAAACCGGATTGGTTTTGTGTTAGTTATGGTGCCCATGGAGCATTCTTGACCTGAAGTAATGTGCAGCTCATTAAGAACAGATACAGATGTGTGGGTATGTGTTGAAGGTGCCTCCATTTAGGGCAGACTGTTACCCATTTACCAGCCATTCGCCAATTAATCAATTTGCAAATTTGTAGACATAAATTGGGCCCGCATAACCTTCGCACTACAATTCCGCCAGTTTTGTTTGATTGAGTGTAACGATGTTCCGATTTCGACACGATATGGTTTCGGCCGGTCCTAAGCCAGAATATCGGTCAAGATCAGAGCAATAGTGGTCCACAAACATGTATCTTGCCGGGTGTTAATTCCGACAATTTGCGCTGCCCATTTGCATAAAGTTAATGGTATGTTTGCTGACCTTTGCTTGGCCAAAAAGAAACGATCCATGGGCAGCAGGAACTAATGCTTACACACATCGCCCAAATATGTACCGACATTGCCCAGCCCAAATCTTTTGATATTCCCATTGATGGCTTCATAAAATTCACCAAACAGCGTCCGGCAATCGTGGGCCATGATTCATCAATATAACGCCGATTTGTACCCGAACTTATTGAGATGCGCTGGCCAGCGATGTTTCTTTTCTGTGTTTTCTTTTTTTCTCAATATCTGTTTTGTGGTCAATGACGCAGCGCTTTGGAGGCATCTTCAGTTGTTTCTGATGCTGTTGCTCTTTCTGTGTTTTTATATAACCCACATTCGGAGCGATGTCTGAGAGCTTTATGCAATAATTCTTGCCTGAAACACTTGGCAGCGTTGTGTGAAGACCCTTCCTGGCCAAAAGTGACAGCAAAAAGCCAATATGTTAGTCAGTATACGCCCCGTGCGCTATGTAAACATAAAATAATATAAATGGTTTTTGGCAAAATGTACACACTTTCAACGACAATTAGCTGACGTCAACGGATGTTTTTCTTGGCTAAACCTTAGGGCCCTGGCGAAATGCATTGCTGCATCTGCAAAAGGGGTTAAAAGTGATGGGAAATAATACAAAAAAGAAATTGCATTGTCATACCATTGGTCAATCAGTAAAAGGCTCTTCGAGCTGGTATTTTGCAAAGTGAAAGGCAAACAGGCATCTGTGCACTTGTGGAAAAAATATCCCATAAATTCTAAAGCACATAGTTTTTATTAACTTGTTAAGGCCTTCTACTTTGTACTTCGCTATTTTAGTTTCCACCAAATAGCTTGCTGGTGTCAAAATCTTACACATTTCGCGCTTACATGCTCGAATAAATATAAGTTGCAAGAAGAAATATTGTTTGAGTGCAAGCCAAATATTACCTCAAAAGTGGCGTGGGATTTATGTTGTGAAGCATACGCTTAAGAAATACCTTTAAATATGAAATCGGTTTTAATATTTTCCTTAATCTTTGATCTTAAAATAAACAAATTAAATGAATGAATTCAAAGTATTTAAATCCTATTTATTATGATTTTTTGTTTGTAAAATACATTATATACACAACATTTAGCCCAAATAAAAATTTAGTTAGTTGTAAAATAAAGTTAGAAATAAAGTTGTTTAAGTTTTCAAGTTTGACTTTAAAGTAATTTTTTGCTGTGCATGAGCACGCTTCCGGTTGTGCTTATTCCCACACAAGGGTCGTGTCCTTTCCCTTTTTTTAGTTCCCCACTGCAGACTTTTTGTTTCGTTTTGTTCGCAATTAGGAATAAATTAAGGCATGATTATCGCTTCTATTGTCTGGGCCCATCTTCACATAATATAAATAGTGTTTCTCTTGGCCCGTCAAGTGTGCTGGGGCATTATTTTGGAGCACGCAACCCGCTCACGTAAGACCTTCATCTCGGAGATGCTGCACCGATCTCTGGGCATCCGATGTCTTGCATTCCATTCCACACCTTTGTGACCAGATGATTGTTTGGCCCACACGCACACACGCTCAAATTGCAATTTAATTCGATGGCTTGAAGTGGCTTTGTCAAAAGTTTTGTCAGACCTGGCTCTTTTGTT